GCTCCTCAGACATGCGAGACCACGAGCGGGTGCACACGGGCGAGCGGCCCTACCACTGCGGCGTGTGCGGCAAGGGCTTCACCCAGTCCTCGGTGCTGAGCGGACACGCCCGCATCCACACAGGCGAGCGCCCCTTCCGCTGCACCCTCTGTGATCGCACTTTCAACAACTCCTCCAACTTCCGCAAGCACCAGCGCACCCACTTCCACGGGCCGGGGCCGGGGCTGGGGCTGGGAGACTCTGGAAACCAGCTGGCATCGGGGGCTGAGGGGTCAGGGAGTGGGTGTGGGGCAGGAAACACTCTGGAAGACGGGCGTGGGGAGAGAGCCAAAGTGAAGGCAGAGGTTGACCAGTAGTCTGGGAGAGCAGGCACAAAGAAGCATTATCAGGGGAAGTAGGAGACAGGTGGCAGGGTGGGGGTGGGAAAAGAAGGCTGGGGACAAAGAGGAGCAATTGGGGCAGAGATGACATAAGAGCTAACACAGATGGCAGTAAGCAGCCAAGTGGGAGAGCAGAGGGAGAACCAGGTTCAGGACCCTCACAAACCCACACAACACCTCCGTGAGATTCAGAGAAAGGTACTAATGCATCTAAATGCGAGGGGCACAGGCTGGATTTCATTGCCCCGTTTGCCTCCCCTCCGGGTTGTCCCCGTGCAAGACACAGCTTGTCACATCAGAGTCTGGGCACTGTGGGGAGGGGGGGCCCGAGTTGAGCAGAAGGGGCAGAACGGGAATGCACCACAGTGAGCCTGGGCCAGCCCTTCATCTGCAGAACCTGGACTACCTTCGGGCCTAATCTTTTGCCTACCTCACTGGATTGCACTGAACATGAGATGCCTACCCATCCTCAGGCAGAAGACGTCCACCAGCTCCTCCATGCAGACTGGGATCCCATCACCTCAAAGCCAGAGGGTCCCCAAGTCACAGTCTAGAGCACTCAACAGTCTCAAGGATGTAAGCCCAACCATAAGGATTTTGACTCCAGGAGCCACTACCCTCGTTCCCATGGTGGTCCCTCCTTAAGCCACCCAGACTCCTCTTCCAAGGAAACTGAAAACCCGGACTGAAAACAGCCATCTAAAGCCCCCTCCTAAAGCTTTGGCTCAGAGACCATGGTCCTCCAGGTCTACAAAGTAGCCTCAAGTTTCTCTGATTTCCTCTACTCCCAATCTGAAGCAGACAGCTTACTGCCGGGTCCCAGGCTGTCCCCAAAAAGGCTTCATGGATGGCAGCATGGTGGCCTGGCCAGCATTTGTGGGTGTGGAATAGCTGAGTTACCGTGGTAGGGGGCAAGAGGAGATGGGATCTGGAGGTGGGAAACCTCCAGTTCTATTCCTATTAAAGGACTTTCTGAAGGGTTTCCTCTATGTTGGTCTCGTGTTTCAGGGGTGGGAATAGAAGGAACACGCTGTGGTCTTGCCCGCAGCTGTGAGCTGCCGCGTACCTCTCTCCAAACCTCTGTTTCCTCATCAGGGTCAGGGAAGTTTAGCAAAATGAAGGGACTCCTGTGATCAGGATGCTTCTTGAGGAAGGACAGCCCTGGATTTGCACCTCTACCTGTTCACCCAACACCCCCATAAGATATCCCATAGACAACTCATAAGGTGAACAGACAGAATTCACTGTTTTCACCAAAGAAAAGTACTTCCTGTCACTGGCATCACCACCCAAGCTAGAAACTGTGTCAGTTTCCTTAAGCCTTCTTCCTCACCCTAATTCCTTGTCAATTTCCTGCTGTTGAGCCAAATATCTTTGGAGTCTGAATGCTTCTTTTCATCATCACTACTTTTTTGGAGAGTGAGGAAGGGTAATTAGGTTAACAGTATTTACCGTTAATGGCAGTGCTGGGGATTCAGCTCAGGACCTCGTACATGCTAGGCACACATTCTACCACTGAGCTACACTCTCCCCCTCATCATCACTACTCTCATGGACCAAGCCAACCGTCATCTCACCCATGCAGGCCCTGCCCTCCTTATTCTCCATCCTGTGGCCACATGCATCCTTCAGAAACACCGACCCCAACCTTAACCTTGTCACCAACCCACAGCTCCTTGTGGCTGTGAGAAGAGATTCCAAACGTGTCTAGAGGAACCATGTGACAACGTAAATAAGCGAAGAAGGTGGCCGGATTTGAGGGAGAAACACCAGCACCTGCGAGGTGAAATATGGCCACCGACATTTGGGCTGAGTGTTGGGATTTGGTGGTAATTGATGGCAGATTGGAGAACGTATACCACATCCAAACAGCAACAGGACCTCAGCCCCAGAGGATGCAAACCATATCGCTACATCTTCCACATTTTTCAGAAGTTGCATTAGTTACTATTATGTAAATTTTTTTATTTTCCAAGGTTGGCAACTAAGTCAACTTTTTCTTTTTTAATGCACGGGTGGAACAAAATGTGTCAGTGGTTTTTACCCAGCAGCTGCCAGGTACCAGTCTCTGACCTACTAGATGATCCAAGCTCTGCTATTTGGAATTTGTGGCCCTTCAGTCTCCCATCCTCAACCTTGCGTCACACTCATCTATTTGAAATTCTATGGAATATCTGGTTTTAGTTACGACACACTAAACTCTCCACTTGGAATCCTCTGCCCACTTTACCTGGCTAACTCCTGTGGCTTTATGTCATCCTTCAGGCATCATCCTCCAGGAAGCTTGGTCAGCCCTCCCAGTCTGATAAGGTGACTCCTCCGTGCTCTCAGCCCTCGGTGATACTTCCACGTCCTCCGGTGCTCCATGTCCAGCTTGGATATGGTAAACCCTCAGTACCTACCAGCTGAATGAGGAAAAGCAGAAAGAGTGAGGGGGAGGCAGAAGGTGCTGGGGAATCGAAATTCCAGGAAACAAAAGTTCCCAACCTTCTGTTTGTCCGCACCAAATCCCCTTCCCCTGGGATGCAAGAAAGGACTCCAGCAGCCCTGTTGATAAGATTTATTATTCTCCGCTCTATACAAGCCGCGTCTGCCATACCACCCCCCGCCCCCCCAATCCAAGAGCACCCAGTCCCCTCTTGTGCCCTCCCAAACCGTTCATACTCTGCTGTCCAGCCTGGTTCCAAAGGAAGGGGGAGAGGCAGTTCAGACCCATCTCCACTGAGCTCATTGGGGGACAGAACGCTGCTGGGGCAGGGGGCTGAGGGTTACAAAATGGGGTTGGACGGAGGATCAAGTTCAGTGTCTGATAGGACGAGAGGAGGGCCGGGGGAGTCTGGGATAGGAGTGATTCAGTCTTGAGTTTGCATGGCATTGGCCTTGATGGAGGCTAGTCTGTCTGAAGTTCTGGAGGATGGATGGGGCAACAGAGGAGGAGGAAGAGTCTGATCAGTGTCCAAAAGGGGCAAGTCTGGAAAAGGACATCTGATTGGAGTGGAGGGTGGGAAGCACCCCTCTGGTCAGGCATCCTTCCCGGCCAAGGTGCCGGCCCCTGCTCCAGGCGCCCCCAGGCCCTCAGCCTTGTGGACCAGGCGGTGTTTCTTGAGGCCGTAGGTGTTGGTGAAGCCCTCGCCGCAGGAGGAGCAGCGGAAAGGCCGGCCGCCCTGGTGGGCTGCCAGGTGCTTACGGAAGTAGCCGGGATCCTTGAAGGCCTTGAGGCAGGCGGGGCAGCGGAGCTCAGGCCGCGGCGGCTCGTGGGCGCGCTGGTGGCGCAGCACTGAGCTCAGGTAGAAGAAGCCCTTGCCGCAGTGCTCGCAGCGATAGGCGCGCTCGCCCAGGTGCAGCCGCTGATGCTCCAGCAAGTTGGAGCGGTAGCGGAAGGTCTTGCCGCAGGCGCCGCAGCGCTG